CTGGTCACTTTCTTTAGGTTTTCTGATGTATTTTATTAATATAAGGTTGAAACAAACCACAGCTAATTTTCATAGTGGACTGTACTATACGATAAACATGTCAGTCAATTTGACAACATTTGTCGAAAACATTATTCAATGAAAATATTGTCCGAACCCTTAGTATTTCTCTTCGACAAATACTTTAACACATTGTGAACCTCTTTTCTTTCACGGCTATAAAAAGATTTTAGAGTCTNTATTTATTTATTTATTTATTTATTTATTTATTTATTTATTTATTTATTTATTTATTTATTTATTTATTTATTTATTTATTTATTTATTTATTTATTTATTTATTTATTTATTTATTTATTTATTTATTTATTTATTTATTTATTTATTTATTTATTTATTTATTTATTTATTTATTTATTTATTTATTTATTTATTTATTTATTTATTTATTTATTTATTTATTTATTTATTTATTTATTTATTAATATTAAACCTACGCTTTTCAGTTAAATATTTAAACGTAGTTTGTTAAATATCATGGGCCCATGTATGCAAAACTAAAGTATAATGAGTGATATGAAACAGATGTTCAAAGATATTTTTTTATTTACATTATTTTATAAAAGTCATTACTATGCTTAAAGTAATTGTTATCTAATTAAATAAGTATATAATACCTCAACTAATTCAGTGGGTCAAGGGTACTTTTTAACTTTTGTTCCGATTTAACAAACTCCGCGAGTAAAGTGAGTAAGCCAAACCTTATAAAAACGTTGAAAGTTCAAATTAGTGAAGTAATTTACTTTGTGAACAATTTTTACCGTCACGTGGATAGGCTGTGCGTACGTCAAATAACCGCTAAAGCTTTGTCAAGCTTTTAGCACTTAAATGAAAAAATGGCCAAGTGCGTGTCGTGCCACGCGCAGTGTAGGGTTTCGTAGTAGTCCGTCGTTACCACATTATATTTCAGAAGTAAGCAATTACTTCATCTAAAGTCACTTAATATTTTTTTCTAAGAAATTTTTATTAGGTACCTACCTATGAAATTTTATAATACATGAATGAAACGACTATTACTCTTGAACTAACTAATCTATCTTAACCGCTATTGTTTTTCTTGAAATTTCATAAAAAAGCACTATTATCATGAATTTTTCCAGATTTTTCAAGCCAACAGTTTAGTTTTTGGACGGGGGACGTTTTTGTATTTTACTCGACCGTTTTGTCGGCGCGATTACTCTACTAAACTATAGCTCCCTAGTGCCAATAGTTTCCAAGCAAAACTTCGAACAGACAGACAGACATATCGAAACTATAAGGGTTCCTTGTCAGGACTACGGAACCCTAAAAAGGGTATGTCATACTATGTGAAATCAAATCATGAAATCAACATTTTTTTTAGTAAAAAGAGAACCATTATTATTATGAGAAAAAGTGTAAGCTAGGGCCAAAATGAGCTTACAAGCTGGCTACTTCATTGCTTTATGTAAACATAACTAATTTGAAATTGGGTAATTAAATGAAAACTTCTGATTTTTTAACTATACACATTTTTAAGATTTTTTGTAAATCCCTAAGATAATTACCTTTTATTGGTAATGCTTATTGTTATAAGGCCAATGTAATAAACAAGTTTTAAAATAAAGGTTTAAAAATACAAACAGGTTGATAGACATACAGACAGACATAAACAAGAGCGAGAACTCTACAGAATCCTATTAATACGTTACAATCGAAATATCCAATGTCATGCATCAAATTAATGTCGTGGCTTACACCCACGGCAATTCTAAAAGTACTTAATAATATAGGTATTTAAAGTATTTTTCCTCTCTAAAAATATTTATTGAATGAAACCATATAAAACCAAACATTTTAAAATCCGAATGGTGGAGCTTTTCATGGGAATGGAATTTATGGAGAGTGACCGATTATATGGAGCCACACAAGTACCTATCATTTAAATTGCATGTAGGTGCTGGTATTGGTTAATTACTAATGCATACTTATTTGATTTTTAAATCATCAATGTAAGCATAATAACAGATTATTTACTTATTATTACAAAGGCAACAGTTAAAAAAGGCAACCTTAACGTCATTATGAATTCTCTCCCAGTATTCTATAAAAAGTAAAATATCTAAGTTTTAAGTGGTGTAAGTTCAGGAAGCTCCTGAAATATTTTTAACAACAATAAAGAACGTAAAAAAAAGCGAGGAATTATTATTCAGCAAGCTTACGACAATTTATTACATTTTTAAAATACCAAGCCGTAGCTATGTTCTTTTAATATTTAAATCCAAGCCTTAGAAATTTTCTTTGCAATTTAAAACCTAACTAAGTTATTTACTTTATTATGTACCTACATATTTAATTAATATCATGACTATAATGATTAATTGTAAAACGTCATTATGTTTGTATTGAATTAAAATGACATATTTGTATTGTTATAATCATTTTATCCATAGCTGGGCATTAACTCGTTAATCCGTTAATCGTTAATTAACGAAGTTAACATTTCTATTAACGGATTAACTTTTAAGTTAACTTTAAAAAATGTTAACGGACTCGTTAACTTCCGTTAAATTATCCTAAGTCCGTTAATCGTTAATGAAGTACCTACCTACTATTTACCAAAAAGATACAATAAATAAAGCAGGCACGCTGAAAAACACTAGAAAAACGCGTTCTGACAAGCACGTTCGGGTTCGGGCTTCCAAAACTTCCAGAACCCAAAACAACAGTTTTTGTAACTAGAACGAAACGTTATAAAAATGCTATTTTTTATTTATTTACAAGCTTTATATTGACTTCACTTGTGTCACAATGTGTGGGACAAATCTTGCAAATAAAAAAGAACGGTCACGCCCACGCCCCATACAAAAAAAACCCAGACCCGACAGAAACGAGACATACCTCAGTTTTTTTGTCATGTCTTAATTAGTTAAATTATATATTTTTTATATTCGAAATCTATGTATAACACCAAAATAATTACCCTTTGTTTTTGTTCAGGCGTTATACAAAAACTAATACAAAATGCCTATTTATCATCAAAATTGGTAAATGTATGTACCTACCTAAATGTCTATTACAGCTGCTATGGAATGTATCTAGGTGACCTGTAGGCCTAAGATGCGCGCCGTGATAACTTTTATCGACGTCAAAATGTATGGTGAAAATCGATAAAATGGCGTGATAACCGCTTATCGCGGCGCGCATCTTAGGCCTACTGGATATACAGCCGGATTATACAGGGTGGAAACGATAAGTGATCTCACTCGATTATTTCTAAACTATACAAGATATCAAAAAACTATTTAATGATCCTGAAAGTGCTTCATGAGCTCTGTATCAAATGGTATCAACAATAAGTTACAAAATCCAAAAATTCAATGTTACCAGCTTTCATAATCTGTAACCTATTATTGGTATCATTTGAAAGAGCCATAGGAACTCCTAAATGAAACGGCGGCATTGCATCGAATTTGGGTTCGTTGGATTTGCCTTTTCAAACACTTTAGTACTAGATGATGTCCAGGGTCCTGATGACGGAGTCAGGAGGTGGCCATAGAAATTCCTAAACAAAACGGTGGAAACTTATCGAGTTTGGGTTTGTTGGCTTTGAGATTGAGATACTATAGACTAAGAGCTGGTGAACGCCAGACCTACGTCATTTTATAAAAACTGAAAGTTTGTCAGCGTATGCTCCCAATATAGATTAGAATGTTCGTGGATTATGAAGTTTGGGTCATCGTTGCTTTGGCAGCTATCCTAAAAAAAACTGTCTGGCAAGGAATTGGAACTGTCAAAACTGTGTGGATGATGTCGAAACAACTTCTAATCATTGCCCAAATACTATACATAAAAATCAGCTTTTATGGTATTACGTAAGCCTAACTTTTACGGTGGCTTTTTCTGTATATTCAATAGACTGTAATTCTACTTATGTATTGAAAGCATACGCTGACAAACTTTCAGCCTTACTAAAATGACGTAGGTCTGGCGTTCACTAGCTCTTAGTCTACTACTAAAAAGTGTAAAATGAAATTATAATAATAAAATACTATTTTAAAAGCAAGCTTTTATTCTGAAATGCACTTGTTACTAAAACGAAAAAAATGTGTAGCGCAAACATAAAAGAGGAATAAATTCCGTACGCGATACAAGCTTTCGAAGTTATTTGAACCTTGCATACAAATACTTTTTTCGTTTTATTATCATGTGTTAACGGATTAACGATTAACGTTAACTTGCGTTAAATCTTGCTAAATGTAACGTTTTAACGTTTAACGAAGTTAATTTTTTTATTAACGGTTTAGCGATTAACGAAGTTAACTATTTGATTAACGGTGCCCAGCTATGATTTTATCATTAACTTATAAAATCACATTGATAAAAAACAAATAACTTTAAAGTAATTAATTAGAATAACATGGCGAATGTGGTTTGAATTATATTAAAGTTATTGCTTCAGTCAACTTTTCCGTAAGTTGAAACGTACTAAGCTAAGTTTGTTTAAACCTCACTTAGTTTGAATATCAAGCCTGCAAATTAGTTTGAAATAGTTAAACTGTATTTAGATACAGCGACTTGTATTATTTTACCAAAATATAAATAATTTACTTAGATAAGTTAATAAGGAAGTAACGTAAGCCTTTGCACTTTTATTAGTACCTATTAGTTAAAATAATGTCTCTAATTCAATCTACTGCCCAAATGCGGCTCATTTTAAAGTATTAATTGGTTTTAAATATCGCCAGCACATTAAAATTTAGCAAGTTAGAGTATTCCTAGAATCTTCGCTTTGAACAGAAAGACAAAAGTAGGTAGGCATTTATTTTTAACAAATTATCGATTAAATCAGATTGGAAGCATTCGCAAAGATCTTTTAAAATTATTATACTCACAAAAAAGATATAACAGAGAAGTTAATAAAAAATCTTGCAATGAACGAGACTGCAAATTAAAAGAAAAAAAGCAGTTTAAAAACTCACCAATCAGCAGGGACACGGTCCTCGGATGTCACTGGCACTCACAGCAGTCAAACCTCTGTACTTTTCAAATTTCGAATTTCAAGTGCGCGCGACGTAAAGCCGGTGGAGCACTGTTGCACCGGTGTAAGCGGGCAGCATAGTGAGAGATGACGCGGGCGCAAGGGTGGGCCGGGGGTGGTTTGAGGGGCGCGACGCATGCCGACGGTAATTATTACGACGGATTTCTGAAATCGTAGACAATGTTGCATTCGATTACGATTCGACTTAACTAACGTGATGCTGCCCCATGCAGGTGGACGGTAAACGGTTGGGACCTACGAGTAACTAATTTAATTTGTACAGTCCATTATCAATTATCGGTTTTCGTTTAGAAAATAGAGAGTACGGTTTTAATTGTTCTAGTTTTAAGATTATTTGAATGTTAAGTGATTTTAATGTATTATTTGAGTTATTGGAAATATATTGTTTTAATTTATAGTAATATGATTATGATTAATAAATTACATGAGTTTTGGGTACAAAAATATTTAAATACTCAGTATTTTAATGATACAAAAATTAGGTTGGAAAATATTTCATTTTATTGATAAGTGCGTTATATTTCCTATAAATTAAATGAAGATAATTATTATTCATGAGTATGATTAGAGAATATCATTGATTAATGATTATATATGAATTAAATAAACATGTATTATTTACATAATCATGTTGATATTTTTAACTGGGAAAAAGCTCTACCTGCTTCGTGTATTTACGATTTTGTTGCAAAATCGCACCTATTGAGTTGTGTTAGATACCAAAGTGTCAAGCTTGACGTGCTTCCATCAGTAACATTTTATGTAAAGTGTTTACACATGATTTCGTATGATCTTTCAGGTTCGCTAGTTTAAATTGAAATTATAGGTCTTAAAGAAAAGATTAGTTTCCTCATACCTAGTTTTAGAACTACTCTGTATAAAAATATCTAGCAATATGATGTTCGAGGAGTTTTGTGTTTTCAGTTTACTTTATACCCACTTGAGGTGTTTACTCTCATGTAGTTTATATTCATACGAGTAAGTTCAGGTATGCTTAGTTAATTGCATAATTTCGCGTAATAATTCTAAGTACCTACTTGTTTTGGATTTAGCTTCAATGTAAGATGAATGCTTCTTTTTTCACAAAGCTTTATTATTATCAAAAAATTTGGAGATAGAAAAAAAAATACGATAACGCCTACACGTTTGCGTCTGGAATCTCGCGATGTAGAAGTCCGGATTCGATTGCCAGGTCAGGCATAAAGTGATGAAAAAAAGCTTTTTTGCTTCTTCTCTGTGATTTAGAGAACGAAGAGTTGAGAAGGGATAAGAATAATAAATCCTTTACTTCTCGGACGGATCGCTGAGTAATGAGAAGCAAAGAGCGTTTTTTATGCGGAGTTGTTTTCTGTTTTTGTTTGTTATTTGGAGCCGTCTGTTTTAATACAATATTGTTTATTAGTTTAGTTTATTGTTTGATCAGGATGGATAACCTTGTTCTAGGTAGGTACTATGTTTGAGTTATTTATCATTGGAAAAGAGCCTGTACTCTGTACATTGTGAGGGTAGGAGTTTAATAAACGTTGCATTTTTTTTGGTATTTGTTTGGTTTGACCGACCGGTGGCTTGCGTAAGTGCATGGTTTGTGGTTGCGGGTTCGACTGAATTTCGGTGAAAGCAAGAGTTAGGCTGAGTTGCACCACCTAACTTTAACGGTAACTATGACGATAACCGGTACTTTTTGTATGGAGTTTGACAGATTTTTGACGTTTGTCAAAGTTAAAGTAAGATGGAGCAACCCAGCCTTAGTGTGATGAGCACGTGTACAGTAGTTAACTAGTTATACTCGGAATCATGGATGATGGATGATAGTACTTTTGTGCATAGGATATCTTACTAATATTATAAATGCGAAAGTTTGTATGGATGTCTGGATGTTAACATGTTTGTTATTCTTTCAGGCAAAAAATACTGAATGGATCTTGATGAAACTTTACAATATTATTGTTTATAACCCAGAATAATATACAGGCTATAATTTATGACGATCTGTGCGGGCAAAAGCTAGTAGTTTATATTTACTTTATTTAATTAAAATTTTGTTGCACATAGAATCTATATCTATATTATAAAAGAAAGTCGTGTTAGTTACTCCACTTATAACTCAAGAACGGCTGAACCGATTTAGCTGAAAATTGTCAGGGAGGTAGTTTAGAGCCAGGAGAAGGACATAGGATACTTTTTATCCCGTTATTTATTGCCATTAAGGCGGAACAAAGTTCGCCGGGTCAGCTAGTCTATATAATAAAAGAAAGTCGTGTTAGTTACTCCACTTATAACTCAAGAACGGCTGAACCGATTTAGCTGAAAATTGTCAGGAAGGTAGTTTAGAGCCAGGAGAAGGACATAGAATACTTTTTATCCCGTTCGAAATAAAAAAAGTCTGCTTATTTTTTGCCATTAAGGCGGAACAAAGTTCGCCGGGTCAGCTAGTATGATATAAAAGGTGAATTTAATGCCGTGTATCATTCTCCCCCAGTCTACCATTGGGTCAATAGGTACACATACGAGTACATTATGTGTGTATTAAGGAGTAAACATACATCTATCTAGTGACTGTGGTAAAAGCTTTAATTAGCTTGTGGTCTGATCGATTATAGGGATGAATTAAGTATTAATTGTGAAAAATCTAAAACGTTAAAATAATGGTATCGTTAGAGCCAATGAGCTGCTGTCATAGTGACATTGACGTAATGTCAATGTCACACTAAAAACGTCAGAATAGAGGGACGCGCGTTTTTGTGCTAAGTGATGAATTGTAGTTAAATAAGGCAATATAATGTATTATATATTGATGATTGACATGAAGGTTGCAGCAGAAAAACTAATTGATACCTTTCCAGTAAGCCAAGACAGGATGTCACTCGAACGTCCATCCGACCGAAGGGGGGGTTCCGGGAACACGGGTACGGGGAAAACTTTACAATAGTGGCAATGTTTTAAGCTGAAAACTGCGGGATGCACTATTCAAAATAAAAAATATTGCAAAGCCCAAAAGCCCCAAAGGGTGAAAACGGGACCCTATTACTAAGATTTCACTGTCAATCTGTCATCAGGCTGTATCTCATGAACCATGATAGTTAAACAAGATTATGTGATGTATTTTCGTTTCTGCTATATCAACAAATACTTAAAATGTAATAAATAAATAATTTGAAGAAGGGCTTCCCTATAAGAAACGTTTTTTTGTCATTTTCGCTCGATATTGATAGGGGCAATATGAAGACGTTTCAAATATTCACGAAATATTTAGTTGTGTACTTATCTATTCACTTTAAATACAAAAACAACAAAAGCGTCATACCATACGGAATCCTTCGTGCGTGAGTCCGAGTCGCATTTGACCTTGACTTGATTTTATGACGTAACTAGAGGAACCTTAATCCGGTAAAATTTCAGCGAATATTACTCAAAAATGCATTCCATTTTACAAGTTGATAGCCGTCCTGTCCGTGTCCGTTCGTAAAGCTGTGATGGACTGCATTAAATCCGCGGACGGTCTAGCTTTAATAAGCTTTCTGCATAAACTCGATGAAAGCTTTTGGTACGTAGGTATCTCGTCGCAATTAAGCGAAAAATACACAGCTTTATATACTCAATGGCGGACGACAAATATGAGGCTTCATATCGGAGTTTAGAGTTATATGTCGGTGCCTTTCATTAGGTACAGTTAAGACTTGAACACACTTGATGACAAAATGTCTTTTACGATTTAGGGGAAAAATGTGAATCTAACTTAGATAAGGACAAATACGAAAATTACAAGTCCACCCTCAAGGTGGACCGCCGACCTCATAAAAAAGATCGTTAGGAAGGCGCTGAATTCAGGTCGCCACCAACCGGCCATTGTGGAAATCATTACAGGATATACAACATAGGCCATGTTCAGCAGCAACAAATACGTGGAAGTGCGTGGGACGTCAAGGTCGACAGGCGACATCATAAATAAATAAATAAATAAATAAAGATTGCAGGAAAGCACTGTTTGCAGGCCACTATTACCAACCTGCCAATCTGCAAAAATCATTGTCCAGCAGTGGACGACGTCCTGTAGCTGAAATGATGATGATGATGATGATGATCAAAGACAAACCACCGATTACTTACAAGGCTACCTGCCTATGTGACGTTGTTGCCCTTACGAATATCCCAGACCATACTGTGCTATGCGTCTAAGCCGCATAAAACTTGTTGCTAGCTAGCGAGCGCGATTACTCTCTCTTAAGCTTATCTGGCTGCAAGTTCCATATAGTGTATCGAAGGCTTTATTCGCCATCGCACAGTGTGGTACATAAGTACTCAGTACATTTAACGAGATTGAAGCGTTCTAAAGGTTTGATAACTGCACGTACCCTGCTCTAAAATACGTGTCCCCACATGCTAGGGCTGGCTTAGTTCGTATACAATATGCGAGTTTGAAAGGGAGTGAAAATATGTTCTTTACACTAGACTAAAGGACTAAACTACTATAATTTGGGCATCAACCTGCAGATTGTGCGATTTTAATAGAAAAATAAACCTTATTTTTATCTTAATAGACATTCCTAGCTATTAAAAAAAACTGATAGCGCCACCATACGGTGAAAGGTTATAAATGGTTAAGTGGCACCCCTTGAGCATAAGCGCGCTAAGCTACCACTACTTTCACGTTGATTAGGTATAATAGATTTATTCATCATCAACATCATCATCATCAGCCCTCAGTAGTCTAGCCTTACTTTAGTAAGAGTGGTAAAAGATACTAGAAGTAAAATATAGAGATTCTGATTTCCGAGTTTTTATTTTTATTCTTCTGAAATTATTGTGCATATATTCATGTTTTCATAAAATAATAATTAATCCGTTGGGATTTCTGTTTTTAGCTCGAAGTTGAAAGATTGAATTTATACGGAATTATTTAAATTATTCCATGAATGCGGTTCTTTGTTCTCTGACGACTGTTGAATGATTATTTATATCGCAAATATAATAATGTTTATTAATTTATCGGTGCTGTGTTATATGTAAAACACCGCCTTTATGTACATACTAGCTGACCCGGCGA